GTCAAAGAATTGCACAAACTCTGTATTCATATACACATCAACCTATTTTCACTTAAAAAAATCGGAGAATTGCAAAACTTGGCATTGCACACTCACTCCCTTGACTTTGTCCGTGTACACATCGATCTATTTTTCAATTAAAAAGTCAAAGGAGCTGCCAACAAAAAAATGTCATCTCAATAAACTACATTTTTAATCAAACAATCAAATAGCATAAAAAAGGAAATTCATCTTAGCACTACACAAAGGAAATATGCATTTATCTTATTTAGAAATTTGCCTGTCTTCAGTCAAACAAAATTCCTTAACAGCATCTAAAAACTTCCTAAAATTATCTGAACTAGAATTTGTATACTGGCATCACCATATAAATTCACAAAGATAAGAGTCAAAGATATCCCCCAAAGTGGTGGTATCCTCCGATGTTCGACCATATGCATTCCTTCCTACAAACAGTACACTTATAATGGCGACTAAGTAAACCATCGGCTAATCTTTGGAATATGGTAACAGGTAGTTTGGCGACATTTTTGTAAAGCGATAAAGGTTACTAGCTAGGACTTTAGCAGTGTACATGGATAAAGTCAAGAGTGTGCGCAGTGCCATTTTTTTGCAATTCTGGGATGTTATTTTAAGTGAAAATAGGTCGACGTGTACATGGATACCGTGTATGTGCATTTCTTAAAAACGCAGCAAGCCGTTTGCGATTCTGCACTTCTTCCAATTTCGCACCTAATCTTCATCATGATTAAGCACTTTTGTTCCATAAAAGTTCTAGCGTAAGCGTAATTCAGCTAGCAGATTGTTGAAAAAAAATTTTGAGTAAAAAAAAAAAAAAAAAAAAAAATGCCTTTACTTCGTTAAAACAAAATGGCGTCCAAACAAAAACTAGCAGGTTGCTGTAGCAGGGTTGGTCGCCAAATTTTCGCCAAAAAACACCAGGTTACCATAATCCAAAGATTAACCAAACCTTCATTTACACACCAGTCAGTTAATGCTCTTTTCCCCTTTCATTCTAAATCGTACAGAAATTTCAAATTAAACTTACCACATTCGGCCATTTTACTGTCTAAACCAAAAAACAAGCAACGAACTTCCTAACCAACACACACCACAAGCCCTTACAATTTTTTTCCCATCATTTAAAATTCAGCACAATCACGCAACCAATTATGCCATAATAGGGTTTCCATAACATTCAACTACTCAGGTTACCGTAAATAAAACACCAACTTGGCAATAAATGAAAAAACTTCACGATAATATAAGGGGCACCTTTAAATCTAACCGCAAAGTGTGTAGTTATCCAATATGACAGCTTTTTAAGCGAGAGGTATTGGCTATGGAAATTAAATTTAAGTTCCAAATTAGCTAGATCATCATCGTTATATAAAAGTCATAGGATATGGATTAGTCTAGAAAGGATGCAGTCCAGAAATTATTACTGCTATTTTTAGAATGGTTAGGGAAAATACCCAAATTAATATGAGTAATTAAGGACCTGTTGCTAATTTAACTCTTGTCCAGTTACAGATCCAGAATTGAAACAAAGATATCAAGTTTATAAATAGCATTACTTGTGTTGCGCGTAGTCCTTTTTTCCTGTCGTCTTTTCACTGCACAAATATGCATTGCTCATTTCTCTGCTTTAACTATTGTCTAATGATACTATCCATTTGATAAAAGTGTGGAGGATGCTTATCACACCCAAAATGATGTGTGAATGAAAATGCATCCAAAATAATGTGCTGCGGTGCGCAATGAATTGGAAGTTCATCTGTCAGCACTATCCTTATCTTCAGGGCAGATGTTTTTATTTTATTTGGCTTATAATTCCTTACTAAATGTAGTATTTCATCTCGATGTACTACATCTTTGATATGATTTAAATCAAATTCCTCGTCATTATAATTCTCTTCCTATAGTGAACAAAGTGACACAGAGGTTATTGAAAACGAAAAAATTACGATTCACAAATTAGTCGGTATCGTCGACACAGCAATTATAGGACTTGAACAACGGAACTTTGTAACTGAAGAAGAAATTATGTCTGTTTATAGAATTAAAAGAGAATCTATTATCACATGAAACAAAGCAACTTAAACAACTTACATTGAAAGAAATGTTTAATAAAGTAAACAAATAAATATTGAGCTTTTTTTTTTTTTTTTTTTTTTTTTTTTTGTAAATTTTGATACCCTTTAGATCATAATTGCTCTTTATTTCATAAATTATGGTTTCATGTTTTTAATTTTATAATTTCTGTATGCCATCTTACCAGATTTAAACTGATGATCTATAATCCGGAATCGCCGAAGTCCCGACGAGTCCGGATTAACGACTTTTGACTGTATATGTTTTTCAATATGATATGTAATAAGTGGATAGTAATTGGTATAAGTGTATTTGGTATGTAATGAATAAATATTTCTTCTATGTAAGTACATAACAAGGAATAATATTGTACTTTTTGCTTTATATATTATAATTTTAAATGAACTAAAATACAACTATATTTTAGTTTGTATAAGGAATTCTGTTTTGGCAAAAATTGTATTTTGAAAGTAGGAGGTGTCTTATGCAAGGTTAATATTATAAAAGTAAATTGCTCAGTTTCTCAAAAATTAAATTTTAATAAATTGGAATACTGCAAGCTTCAGGGCAACACCCAGTGAATCGCAGCATTCATGTTGGAGAAGTCCATACATTTATCAAATAATGTCACAAGCATAAAGCAACCACCATGATAATTAAATGTCTACCAGATGGCACCTACTCATGTTTGCTGAGTATTATCATGTTGCTATGTATTGTCTCTTATTATTTTAATTGATCTATTGGGAAAATATATACTTCAGGGTCCCCTTTGGAGAAATTGGTGATTTTTTGATGCCATTTCTGTTTACTTGCAGTGTCCTGCGAAAGATGATGCAATAAAACATAATTAAAATATAAATAAATTATAATCTCAGTAAACTGCATTTTAAATCAAAATAAAACAAGAAAATAATATAAAAATGGAAATTTCATGTTATCTAAATTGCACAGTGGAAAAAGGAAATCTTGACTTATCTTATTTAGAAATTTCAATGTCTTTGGTGTGTGGCACACAGAATTCCTTTACACCATCCAAAAACACTTTAAAATTATCTGAACTAGAATCTGTATACTGCCATCGCCACATAAATTCACAAAAGTAAGAATAAAAAATATCCTCTCTAGTGCCGCACTGTCAGTGGCATTTCTTTTGAAAATCACTCTTTATTACACCCCACATACCTTCAGTAGTGTTCATATGAGCTCCAGTTTTCGGATCCTTAAATGTCACTGCGTGATTTACTGAGAGGTGAACGAAGCCATTATCAGAAAGACAAACAGATGACTTCCAGCAATCAGATATGATCATTGATTGTTCCAAGTAAGATATTTCGTTGAACTACATCCAACAAAGTTTCTTTTCTTCTGCACTCAACCACTTCAAAAAAAAACACTTTCCACTCTCTCGTTCTATACCATCAAACACCCAGTTTGCCACTGGCAGCCATTTTACGGCGTAAAGCACGAAATAAGCAACATACTTCTTAACCAACCTCCAATGCAGAAATAATTCTCAATCAAAATCAGTGTGATCATACCTTGCAACCAATAGCTTCATAATAGCGTCCAACCAATCAGGTCATGATAGAGTTTTCAAAACATACACCGTGAAACACTCAGGTTACCATAAATGAAACAATAACTTGATGATAATCCAAGGGGTACCCCAAAATATAGACTACCCAACCTATGCATTATTCTTCCATAAATTTTTGTTTTCCATGAATGTAAAAATTTTCAAGAATAAAAAATGCATTTCATGTCTTACAAATTTCAAACTAAAGTGGTTCAGTTTGCAGAGGAGTATTATGATAAAGCGGCATCAAGACAGTTTCAGCTTCCTCGTGTGGGTGCTATGATTAAACTGTGGATAAAGTGTAAAGACAGACTCTTACAGATACCAGCAATGAAGTGAACAAAAAACAGGGAAAAGGCAAGGGGTCCAATCCTGGAGGAAAAACTCAAAACACTGGATCAGAAGCCAAAAAGGAAGTATTACATCTGTTTGGATAAAGCTGATCATGAGAGAAAAATTGTCCAAGAGATGTAGAAGAAGAAAGATGACTTAGAAGATATATCTGATTTGAAAGGTGGTGCTCCTATTTTATTAAGAGGTATTTTTTGAGTCTAAGCAGCAGAGGGCTTGCTCAGAAGGTACCTGTTACCTATGAGGAAAAGATTCTTTTTAAGTTTTATACTTACGTCATCAATTTTCAAAAGAATAATAACTCTGAACTTGTAGCATAACAAATATAGTGCAAGACTCCCTCACCTTTTATGTTCCTTCCAACAAATATGTGGATTAAAAAGGGGCAAAACAGTAGTTATCAAAACAAGTAGGCATGAGAAGATTCACCCCCTCATCATCCCTGTCATTTTTAAAAGGAGAAATACCAGAAATTTTTGTACATATTCATGAAAAGGCAGAATAGATCTTCAATATCCATGTAGTCTGAAGGTTTCGTGCTCCTATATTAGCCTATTACCACCATGAGAGGATTTTCAGTGGAACAGTTTTTTAAGTGCTCCCATGCCATAAAGACATTATGCATTTACAAACCTTCTCTCTGTGAAAACATCTTAAATGCCTTCTCTAATATCAAACCTAGGCCCAAGCTGTGCCAACAAAAATGGCAGCATTGAGGATTCCTTTGGCTTTATCTCTTGTTTACATTTTCTGTACTATCTGTTGCTTGTAATCCTTATACATAAATTTTAGGAAAACCATATGCTTAATCTGCTCTTTTTTCTTTAACTATGAATTAGTTTTGTCGATTAACCTTTCATTTTATTTTTATCTAAAAGTATAAAACATAGTTTTCAATTTGTAATTTAATATGCACTTGTCCGTATATTCAGAAAAATATATGTTTCTATTTTTAAACTATGATTTTTATATCTGTTGCAGATTGGAAAACATTTTTTAATTTTCTGCTCAAAAAAAAATAGTGACTTCAAAGGTATAATTTATTTTCTGAATGAATTTTTTTACTATTTTGTATGTCTGTTATAAAATAAATTTGATTTGAAATCATGGATAATTTAGAAGATTTATTGGTACTATCCGGTTTTGAGGGTCGTAAAAAATCGCCAAACTATTGTTGATGGCAGTGCTGCCAAAAATAATTGCGGCAACCCTATCGCAAGAAAGGAAGTATAATAGTAAATAACTATTTAAGATTGATGTTTTAATTTAGATGAAATGTTAATTTCGTATAATACTTTTTTATTATTATAATTTATATAAAAAAGGCTAAACATGACTGAACGGAAGCATAAGAATAAATAACTATTTCAGATCATTTTTATAATTTATATAAAAATTGCTAAACATAACTGAATGGATGCCTGCATCGCTATTTTGTTACCGAGTTATCGCTAAAGCATAATTTCATCTCGTTGGTTGTTCAAACATAATTTTCTATGATGAATGATGCCTTTTCTATGAAAAAATTCTCGGGAAAGTGCAGAATCGCCCATTTATTTGTTTGCCACTTTTTACAAGGGTAAAAACAATTGGATTTTTGTCAATTTTCTTTTACTTTTTAAGTGAAAATAGGTCGAGGTGTACATAGATAAAGTCAAGGGTGTGCGCAGTGCCATTTTTGTGCAATTCTGGGATTTTTTTTTTAAAGTGAAAGTAGGTTGATGTGCACATGGATACCGAGTATGTGCAATTCTTAAAATCGTGTCAAGCAGTGGGTGATTCTGCACTTTACCCAAAATTCTATTGTCGACTTTTCATCATGGGCAATTCTCAAATTGTTAAATCCATAGGATATCAAATAAGGATTTAAAATCAAAAAAGGATTTAAAAATTAAACTAGTATTTAAATGGCATCTTAAGAAATATAGACTATATAAACTTACATAAAGTTATGCAAAGAGCATACGCTAGATTTGGCGCACTCTTAAATGGGCTGCGTTTGCTAGATTTGACACTTTTGCGCATACATTTTCTCTGCAATTTTTTTACAGTCCTCAAAATGGAATAATACCGTTTTATTTGTGCTGTAATTTTTGCTTTATTATTAGTATTTTAATAAATATTAAAGAATGCAAATAAGTTTCCAATTAAAGTCTTGAGGCATATGTTTAAAAATGTTATTACATTTTTTGGGTACTATTTCATTTAGAATTAGAATCAGTTAAATATGAAGAAAAAAATTCGGAGAAAACAATGCTGTTAACGAACACATCATATAATCGTGAGTTGAGAATTTAACGTTTGAAATATCGCAAGTCGAGATTTCTAGTTCTCATTCAAAATATTGTCACTCGTTATTTTTTGTCACATTTCTTCATTTTTTTAATATGATGGATTACACAGTTTTGCAGTTTTCTAATGACGATAAGGCTGCCATTAGAATTCTTTGAGGACAAAGGAATTATTCACAGCAAGAGACTTTGTTCTCAAAATGATCCGATGAAGTGAACTTTCATGTCAAATAAAACTCCTATATGGCATTGTTACATATGTTCTCGCTGTGACAAAAGAAAAAAAAAAAAAAAAAAAATTAAGAACCAAAACATGGTTTGAAGGCTCGCGGCTTTCTTTCCTCAGTTCTGTTGGTTTTATCTATCTGTCTATCTGATGTTGATTGAATTTTGTCAGCTTCGGTTAGAAATTAGCCATGGTACGACAGTAGATTAGAATAACTACTTTAAAGTCTTTTTTACAAAAAGGAAAAACTACGTTAGATGTGTTCTCCCGGAAGCATGGTTATTCAGGGCTTTATGCCGGGAAAGCAAGGAATGTTTTCTGGTCGCCGGTCTTGATCGTTGTGCTATGACATTAATGAGTGCCATTCAGGAAAACATCACACATGGCAGCATTATATTTTCAGACTGCTAGAAAGGATATAAGAAAGAGGAATTAAGAAATACTGTATATGAACATTTTACTGTGATTCACAGTTATAATTTTGTAGACCTCGAAACTGGATACCATTCCCAAACTGTGGAGTGATTGCGGGGCAGTGCTAAATGAAGAAATGAATGCCAGCGGAGCACTGCTCGCCACCATTTAGAGTCTTATTTGATAAAATTTATGTGGTGCTGCTTATATTCAAAAACTGAAATATTTTCTCCAATATTGAATGATGTTATTTGTAATTTTATGCCACTGTTTAGATTGAATTTTTTTATTTTTTATTAAGTATAGAATATCGTAGATTAAAAAATTAAAAAGAAAATTTTACTTTTGTTTAGAATTAAGAAATACAAAAAGTTACTCTTTATTATTATTTAATAATTTTATACCTGGCAATGATAAATTGGCAACAATTGGTGTCATAAAAAGGCAGCATATTTTTAACTGACACCACTCTAACGGAATAGTACCATATAAATGAATTATTTTTTTTATTTTGTATATCTGTTATAAAATAAATTAAATGTGATTTGAAATTGTGGATAATTTAGAAAATTTATTTGTGCTGTAATTTTTGCCTCATTATTATTATTTTACTTTTTAAAATAAAAAAAATTACAAATAAGTTTTTAAAATAAAGTCTCGAGACTTATGTTTTTGTTTTGATTTTACATTTTTTCATGCTATTACATCAAGTATTTTTAATGAAAGAATTGTGCTAAATGTTTATATTTATTTTTGATATTATTTAGTTATTTATGTAAGGGATTGGTAATGATTAAGAACATTGTTTCACATGCAACTTCTTTACCTAAAAAAAATAAATAAATAAAAAATATACCATTAAAGTTCATGAAGAATGCATATGTGGCTTCATATTAATAACAGTGAATTTTTAATATTTTTTTCATTTTACCATACTAAAAATTTATTTTTATTTTCTGTATATTTAAAAACAAGTGCTTTTTGTGTTATTTTTTACAGATATCTATATTCTCTTAAGTAAAAATGCTTGTGGAGGTTGGTACAAGGCATCATTCCCGTTACACGCCATCTACGGGAATGACAGCTAAGGAGCTATGTGAAAATGATGATTTAGCTACAAGTTTAGTTTTGGATCCATATCTAGGATTCACAACTCATAAAATGGATATTAAGTATGTAAACTAAAAGTTTCTTTTAAATATTCATTTCTGTCTATTATTATTATTATTTTATTTATTTATTTATTATATATTATTATATATATATATATATATATATATATTCTCTACCTTTTCTGTTTTTCATACCAAACAGACCAAACAGATACAAAAAGCATAATGATTTACACAAAACACTATTTTTTAACTGATTTCTAGGTTTGTTAATAGTAAAAAATAGTATGAGTTTATTTGCATTACTAGCGATATGTTAAATTTATTATATTACATGAAAAAGATTCTAATCATGTTTCAATTGAAGGCTGATACTTGAATTTAAAAGTGGAATGTAATTTTGATATTAATAAGATGGCTATAGAAGACTGCTATCTCATATGGATTTATTACGCATTATTATTAAATAATCTGGAAGAAAATTCGAATATGAAAGCAGAAATACATAATTAAATCAAAAAGACTACAAAGAGAAAAAATTTATACCTTAAAAAGTGGTTAAAGTAGCTTGAATTTAAATAAATAAATAAATAAATAAAATAATTTTTTAAAAAAATTCTCTTTATCTGAAAAATATAAAATAGCTGTAATTTTGTAAAGCATTAAAAAATATTATCATTAGATTTTTAAAAAATAATTATATCATCAAAAACTTTTTTCAAATCTGAAATTAAAGTGTACAAATTTTAAATTGTATTTAAAAAATTTCTTTATGCTTTTTAGAAAGAGACTTCAGAAATTTCTTATTATCAGATTTGTTGTTTTCACTGAACACTAATTTTTTAGGAAGTAAGAAGTTAAATTTGGATGTTTATCAGAGTTGAGCTTTTGCATTTTTCCCATAAGAGATTTTGTGAGCAATACAGATATAATTTAAAATGCAATTTTATCAGTTGTATTTGTAGTGTATATATTTATCAGCTTTTATAAAACATTTTCAGAGCTTTTTCTATTTGATTATTCACCCCTCTCTAGCATAAACATTTTCTATTGAAAAGAAAGAGCAGTTGCTTACTTTCATTTCATTAATTAATGTAACTTTTCAATTAGCTTTACACCCTTTGACGTGGATCGAGAGAAACTTCTAGAAGGATTAATGGATTTCATAAATAATCAAGACTATGATCTCACCTACAAAGTTCTGACTAATTGGGATTGGTTCCCCAGATATATTCACTCAAAGAGTACAAATCAGCAAACTACACTGAAAGAACATGTAAGTAGATTTTTTCCCTATCATAAATAATCAGACACATTATAATATAAATTTTTTACTTACTGTAACATAAAACTTGAATTATATTCTTTCAGATAACCAAGTAGCATGTAATTTGTTTCGTTAGAATTATTATTTTTTTTGTAATTGCATTGAAATTAAGCCTATTTTAATCACCTTATATAGTCAAAAGTCGTTGATTCGGACACCCATAATCCGGAATGATCTATAATCCGGACCTCAAAGCTAAAAACTTTCTGCGCATGCGTGGCATTCACACATGCGCATAGGCGTTTACGCGTGCACGTAAGACCTTTACGGGTGCGAATATACATGTGCGCATGCGCATAATACGTTTATGCATGTGCGTTTAATGTAAAACGTATGGTATAAGCTAAAACTATCTAATTATTTATTTCAGTTAATGTTGCAGATTGCGTTGTTCCTTAATCTTCGAATTGGATCCGGCTTATTATTTTTTGCAGACTGTTAGAGCAATTTTATAAAAGTAAGCTTGAACTTTGGATTATGTCAAATACATTTTCCGATGCTGGAGCTCCCAAAGGATCTACAAAGCGAAAATATGTTTTGATATCCATCAAACAAAAAAGGAATTGCTGCAAAAAATGGATAAAGGCATATATCCTTTGATTATCTAATCATTCCGAAATATGTTTATCAATTTCACGCTGCTCTGCGGGGTGGGAGGAAACGACAAGGCGCGCAATGAATTGGAAGTTGATCTGTCAGCACTATCCTTATCCTCAGAGCAGATGTTTTTATTTTATTTGGCTTATAATTCTTTACTAAATGTAGTATTTCATGTCGATGTACTCAGTCTTTGATATGATTTAAATCAAGTTCCTCCTCATTATAATTTGCTTCCGATAGTGAAGAAAGTGACTCAGAGGTTATTGAAAACGAAAAAATTTCGATTGACAAATTAGCCGATATTCTCGACACAGCAATTATAGGACTTGAACAGTGGAACTTTGTAAGTAAACAAGAAATTATGTCTGTTTAATAGAATTAAAGAGAAAGTATTATCACATGAAGCGAAGCAAATTAAACAACTTACATTGAAAGAAATGTTTAATAAAGTAAACAAATAAATATTTAGCTTTTTCCTTTTTGTAAATTTTGATACCCTTTAGATCATAATTGCTGTTTATTTCATAAATTACGGTTTCATATTTTTAATTTTATAATTTCTGCATGCCATCTTACCAGATTTAAACTGATGATCTATAATCCGGAAAAATCGATAATCTGGAATCGCTGAAGTCCCGACGAGTCCGGATTAACGACTTTTGACTGTATATGTATACCGTATTTACAGCATATAAGACGCACCCTTATTTATTTAGAAGGCCACACACAAGGAAAAAAAGTTTTTATAGTCCGTGCGGTACCACAATAACTTAAAATGTGGTTTCTTTTAGTTCTCATGTTTCGTAAAAGCCAAATAAACAATCTTTGAATGCAATTACCAAACATATTTTTATTAAGGAAAATTAACAAACGGCAAGCTATTTTGAACATGATATGTGAATTTCCATAATGAATAAATGAATGAACGGCCAAGATCAGGCCAAGATGGAGCTGGGCATTGAAGGTTATGTTTTTTTTTTCCTTTTTTAAGTAGTCTTCAGTTGATCTTCCTGCAGTCGCCAAGTATGTATCATTTTTTCGGTAGGTGGTGGACCAAAATGCCTTGCTGCTGCTCTGGTTCCATGCACTTTGGCGTAGTTTAACACTCCTAGTTTATACTGAATTGTATAGCTTAATCTCTTGTTTCCTGTAGTCATATTTTCCAGGGTATTTTTTTTAAAACAAATAGTTTTAAGCACCGATACTGACACGTTTATACAGAGTAGCACCGATACCGACACATGTGTCGGCTGAGTCAAAGAAAGTCTATGTAAAGAAGGAAAGGCTCCATAGACGTAATGTGACCGTTGAACCTGTTCGAACTTCGACATCAGCTTCAAGCTTTGGCGCTTTTTGGCGACGGATATTTCACACATGCGCAAAATAATTATGGAAGATGTAGAAAAAGTTATGTGCGTCTAGACCTTTATCCAGGCTAAAAATAGCATTCAATATTGAAAGTTAACCTGTGTCCTTCATGTATAAGACGCAGGTAACTTTTTTGAGACCAAATTTAGGAAAAAATGTGCGTCTTATATGCCGTCAAATACGGTATATATATTTAGATACTTCTACTAAAATTAATATTAGGAGATAATATTATCAATATTTCCTTAGTAAATAAATTAAATATATATATATATATTCAAATGTTTTTCATATGAATATACAGTGAAAATCATTTAACATGAAACTGAGGGGACTGAAATATTTTTTCATGTTAAAAGAATTTCGTGTTAAAGGATATTGAAAACAAAACATATATTCAACAAAATTAAGTTTTTAGAGTACAATCTGCATTAATGATATTTTTTTAGCTTTGAGCAAACTTCAAAATGTCTTTGCCTGCCTTAATTGGGGCTGTATTACACATTATTATCAACTACTGCAGCAAAATCTTCTGATAATACAGTAGGACATTCCATTAATGCAGAAACTTTCTCAAACATTTCATTAAATGTCCTCAGTTTCAATATCCTCCTTCTCCATTTCTTTTGGCGCCAAAGAATCCGATACTTTTGAGAATCGTAGATGACAAAAACAATTTTCATTCGTCCTTGGAGTCGCTGAATTCCATGCAGAGTGCAACAAATATATTGTTACGAATTTGGTATTTAAATAGCTAATGTTAGTTGAATTATAAATAAAATTGTTTTATTCCCCGTGCAGTGCAGCACGTGATGAATATTAAAAGAAAGCTAAGCCGGAAAATTAAAAATTCAAGAGCGCGTGCATTTAACATTAAATAAATAAATATCTCTTTTTGATTTTGAGAAAGTTCCAGAAAGTTCTTGCGCGTGGTTTAAAAATCTTATAAAAAGCAGGAAAACCTCTCAATTCAGTCAGTCAGTTATTTTAGTTAGCGTGTTGTTAAGAGTTTGTTTAGAAAACTGCTCTTGTTGATTGTAGCGAATTCGCGGATTAGCTTTCTTTAGCTGTTTTGAATTAACTTCTGTTGAATGTTTGAGTAGTTAAGATTGCTACTGTGATATATTGTAATACTGAAAGAATATCTGAGGAAATTTTTGTTGCGATAATAATAAATTTTGTTCATTTTCCTTCGACTTGTGCATTCATTTTGTAACAAACCCTTACGCACGTAACAATATGAAGAGACAGAGACATGGAGAGTGCAACATATGAACCAAACTCACTGATATTAACTCGCACTGCGATGTACTAGTCACCAAATTCCAAAGCCAACTGATGAGAGATGACATGTTTGTGTGGCGTTTGTAGGGGTGGAAGATACAAGTAGCGTAGATAAACAAAACTGGCTCGTGTCACAGGCTATTCTGATATTATTACAAAGCCAAGTTAGCCTCCTTTCGACGAAACATGGGAAACCTCCTCTCTTTCATTTCACACCCTACTTAAATGTCGCCTGCGAGGCCGGTGTTTTCCATACTTTGTTCATTCCCAGTAAGGATATCTTTTCGTGTTAAGTTATTTTTATTTCATATTAAGAGAAACAAAATGCATGAAAATACATAGTAGTTTGTCGGGATCTTTGTATTATTTCATGTTTCTGATATTTCATCTTAAGCATTTTCACGTTAAATGTATTTTACTGTAATATATAAGGTGATTAAAAATATTTATCAGAAATGTAGGGGAATTGAAATAAGCAGATTTTATTATGGAATGTGGGTGCAGTCTCTTAGCTTTGCATTCATGTAGTGATGTATACTGCATAAAATCCACATGGGGAATGACAGTTTATGCCAGCAGAATGTGTATCTGTTGTTGCTCAACAGCACTCTGTACCCACCTTAATGTCTCGTTTCCGCATGCTCATTCCATTACAAAATCTGCATATTTTGGCTTGCTCTACTTGCCATTTTATTTTTGAAGTATTTTTACGTAGAATTATTTGTCAGATATGACCTAATTTCCTAATACTCTTCTTAAATTCTCAGATGTTATGTCAACCATGTATTTTTGAAATACAATTAAAGCCTAATAATACAGCATTTTCAGGATTGTAATAATGCTAGACTATCAAATATTTTGGGTTATTGAAAAGAAAAATGTATAGCATGGCAAAGCATTTATTTTTTGTTATTGATTATATCAAGAAATGAAAAAAAAAATTGTGTATGGTGATTTTGTTTTGTATTCACTGCTATCACTCATGCATGAAATGTTTCCTCAATTGAATTTAAATTCTTGCTATTTTTTTAAAAAATCATTTCATAGAATATGATTCTTTTCCTATATATTTTTATCTGTGGATTCAGTACACTGTGAATTATAAGGTCATCATTTAATTGATTTATTATTATCAGTTATTATTACAATTTTGTTTTCTAAAAGTTTAACAAGTTCTTTGAGGCAGAGAGTTTCAGCTGTTTCTAGTTAATTAGTAATGTCCAGCTTCTGTTAAACATTTAAAGTTGAAAACATTTTAAGTAAGTAAAGAAAGCAGACAATATACTTGTAATAAATATGAATGTTTTAGCAACAGACTGATCAAAAGTGAGCAAAAAAGAAGCAAAGCAATTGTGGAGATTTTCCAAATATTCCTGAATGAAATGGCAATAATGACATTATATGGCAGGGACATTAGTGAAAGAACTGCTCGACTATCGAGTGTACTAAACTGTTTGGATTCTAGATTATTAAACTTTTACTCTATATGTTCCTTAGTAAAATATTTTTGGTGAAATAATATATAAACTGCATATTTAACAGAGTTTCCTCAGGCTGCCCTTATTTATGAAACGTTTAATTATATTTTCTGTTTTCTCAGATTTTTCGCTACTTAAGAATATTTGATAAAGATTCTGGCTTTCGAGTATGTGTTTGTAAAAGATATTCCCTTGAGGGAAATGTAGGAGCTAAAGTTTGTGCTACTAAAAAATGGTGAGTCTTTTAAATATTATGAAAAATTATAAAATATGCAATAAAACTCATTCTCTGTTTTTTTTCCTTTGACAAGTTATGAATTATATTTATAATAACAAGAGTATTTTTTCCACCTGGTTAATCTTTTCACTGCTGAATTTGTGTTCAAATGTCTAGATGCTTTGGGCTGAGTAAACTTTGCAATTTAATTAGTTCAATATGATGTAATTCTTACCTTAGAAGATGCATGAAGACCAAACATTGTCAGAATCTATGAAAAAATTCCATTGTAATAGTTCTATGAGAGGGGAATTAAAAAAAAAAATAATACCTGAATCATCATAGGAAATTGAGATATCCATCTCTGATATTCCTGAAATTTCTACTGTCATGATTGTAAGGTACAATAGCACTGATAATTTATAATTTGCATTGTCCATTTTGTTTTATTTATTTTTTTAATGCCACACAAAAATTAAAACAGTCTACTTATTTCTTAAAAGATGGCTGTGTGTGGCAATAAAATTAGGTTATTCTGAGTTAGCATCTTTGCTTAAAGAAAAAAAAAAAAGGGTGCTTTGCAGAATCATTTAAATGCATGAATTATTCATGGCAATTGCAATTGGTTATGACGAAAAAATATATTGTCTACGAAGAATTATTCTAATGTCCCTGGAAATAAAGATGATAATTAGCTGACTTGGTTTGGTATCAATATCCTCGTCCCGTCTTGCCGCTGTGCTATCCCGACTACGCATTAAACATATTACACGTGTATAGTAAATAGTAAGTATTAGTTATATAAAATAATAAAAACATATGAGTGTTAGTATGTAATGAATAAATAAAACATGAATAATATTATGTATTAATTAATAAATAAAATGATGTATTAGAATTATTAATAAATAATGTACTAATATGTATGTTAAAAATTTATGAAAAAAGTAGTTATTTTGCAGATTAATTAAGGTGATCCGTTAAAATACGGAAAATTGAAGACCAAACATTGTCAGAATCTATGAAAAAATTCCATTGTAATAGTTCTATGAGAGGGGAATTAAAAAAAATTAATACCTGAATCATCATAGGAAATTGAGATATCCATCTCTGATATTCCTGAAATTTCTACTGTCATGATTGTAAGGTACCAATAGCACTGATAATTTATAATTTGCATTGTCCATTTTATTTTATTTATTTTTTTAATGCCACTCAAAAATTAAAACAGTCTACTTATTTCTTAAAAGATGGCTGTGTGTGGCAATAAAATTAGGTTATTCTGAGTTAGCATCTTTGCTTAAAGAAAAAAAAAGGGGGGTGGGATGCTTTGCAGAATCATTTAAATGCGTGAATTATTCATGGAAGACATTCATTTTACAGAATTATTTTGTAATTTCAGCAGTGAAAGGATTAAAGTAATTTAGCAGGAGAAAAAATATTTTAAATGGGCTTGACTATATTGAAATTTATGCTAAAAAGAGTGTATGTGTGTGAAAGTCTCTTTGAACTTTTTATAATTTTTTCCTTCAAAAATTTCAGGTGCAGGAACATCTATTGACAATATGATGATTTTTACCAGCATTGTACATGTATTCTTTTCAAATCAAACTAAACATGCCTTGTTTCAGAATGAAAGGAAATTTTAGAATCTTATTTTTTGTTATTTAATACAATCATTACAATAGACATCCTTAAATCATTTCATAAGATATCAAGATTGCTGAAAATTTATCCATCTTCACTGAAAGTATTGTATATTTTTAAAGTTATCTTTATAGATGATTATGTAAAGGTGACCAAAAGTATGGTCCTTGATTCCACAATATGAGTTGTCTTACTAGCTGTGGCATGTATGAGGCCATATTCTGTATCTCAGCTAACATCTGTGAGCATGTCTGGACACTTTTTGGTAGATGTTCCTTCATGCAGTAGCTTCTGGTATGTGGCACTGTTGCAGCATAATTGAGTTGAGAGTCAATATGAAATTCTCTTACAAATTTAGTAAAACAGCAATGGAAACACATGAAATATTGAAAATTGTGCACGAATATGCAGTTGTAACTTGGAGAACAGTATACAAATGGTTTAAATGTTCCCAATGAAGTGTGAAAAACCATCAAAGATGATCATTTAATGTGGAAGGTAATGATGTAGTATGTGATCAACTGCTTTTATTTTATTATTTTTTTTAATTACAGGACTAAAACTTTAATTAATAATATCTTTTTCCTACCATTTTTTAGTCAAATTTAAAAAATAATGTTTTAGTGCTTCCATCTAAGAAATGAATAACTAACTAAAAGTGGTAGATTGCATATTATATCATCACCATGTGGGAGGCCAATGACAAACAGAGTCAGAGCAAATAAAGATAAGAGTTCACAAACTATTGATAGTAGATCAGCATTTGTCCCTGATTGATTGGGGAAGAACTGGATATTCTTCATGAAATCATAAAAACCATTGTCATCAAATAAAATGCAGAAGTTTGTCCATTGACACCTAACCTAAAAAATAAAAACAACAGAGAATGGAGTTATGTCATGATTGCATTGGCATGACAGATACTGATGTCTTGTTTTTACTATGAATTGTAACTTCTGGATGAAATATAGTGCTTCCAGTGGTGTCGAGAAGCTAAACAACAAAGCATGGAATGGCACAACCTCTTGTTGCCTAAATCAAAAAAGATTTACTTCCAGAAGTTATTACATTTTCAATACACATAGCCTGATCCTTAAGAAATTCATATCAGAAGGCCAAACAGTGAATGGAGATTTTTAGTTGGAGGTTCTCAATTGATTTTTTATTTCATATTCATCATATGTAGTTTCAGTGCTGTGAACTAGGATTGTAGTTCCTTTTACTCAACAGGTAATGTAATATTGTGGTGCATGTGAAGCAGTTTACCTACTGAGTTGTTCTACCCTTCATATTCTTGCATTCTTGCCCTACAATTTCTTTCTCTTCTCAAAACTGAAGTCTGTACTGAAAAGGCTTAGATTTTGTAAAATTTCTTACATCCAAGCTGCTGTGCTGAGAGAGCTAAAAGCAGTATGAATGGCGAACTTCTCCAGATGTTTCCAACAGTTATATGAACATTAACAGACATGTAGTTTATTAGAGAGATATTACTTTGAAGGCTGGTAATGTATATCTGTTCAAGTATTTTGCACTGTCAGATTTCTGTGATCATCCTTTGGATTTTTCAGTCACACCTGGTAATTTTAATACTTATAGCCCACCTTAAAAAAGGGTATATTTGTTTTTGGCATTTTAAATGTTGAGTTTTAAAACTGTAAAATTAATCAAAAGTAATAGTTCAACAACAGTGCATTGAACCTAATGTATCATCAAAATCAGTTTTATTTATATTGAATTTTTCTAATCTTATTGAAATTATTTGCTTGCCTTTCTATATAATCACAATAGTTAAGAATGTTTTTCTGTTATTAAAGTAGAAAGCATAGTTGCTGAGATTTTTCAACTGTGTGGAAAAGTTTGTTTCATTTTCATATATCTTTTAACTTCTCATTCAGCATTTAAGATTGTCGTAATTAGTTGGGTAAATGGGAGTAGAATTTGGTGGGAGAATGACCAACTCGTTTCGTGAAGATGAGTCATATCATTTAATATTTGGTTAACCAACTTTAGCAAGTCAATAATAATAATAATAATAACAATAATTTGGTTTTGAGACATCTAAAATTCTTAAATCCAAGAGAAAGTATCTGCAATTTAAGCAAGTAATTGCTTAATATGGTCTTGCTGTCAAAGACATTCTCCCTTTATGTTTCAAGAAAATCACTGATTGAAAATTTATTAAAAATATTGTATAAAAATCCCTCTCCACTACTATTGAATTTGATGCAATCAATGATTAACCACACATGGTGATACAAGACCTTACATGGTCAATATAACTATCTTGCAACTTTTATGTAAATGTTTCTGACTCAATTAATAGCCTTAATTCAAGATTTGCTGGTATTTGAATCAGTTGGCCTTTGAATTCTTTTTACCTGAATATATTTGCTTCCTTTGTCTGTGCCTTCCTCAATACATTAATATACCATGCGAATTTAAAATTCTGGAAAATCCCAAAGCTGCTGATGCGAATGAGATAATAAATTTGTGAGCTGGTACCATCGGCTCGACAGTATGCGATATTGAAATTGAGATTGAATCGTCAATCAACCGAGATATCTCATGTAAATGTGGCTACATGTTCTTATACCTCGGTGATCGTATATTAGCACTGGCTGCATGTTCTTATACCTTGCAGTGTAATCGTATATTAGCACTGTATTGCATTTTTGCTGTCACTGCATGTTTTTACGTTATAAATTTTTTATGAGATTTTTGAATTTGAATTGTTTATTTTTAAAATATGTTCATTGCTTTGTGTGTGTATGTGTGTGAATATGATGTTAGCAATCTTTAACTTACTGAGTAATGAGGCGGATGTCATATCATTTTTTCAAGAAAGAGGTCTTTTACATGACAAATGAGTATGCAAAATTGGCCACAACATGAAACTTTATGTTAACAACAGAACCATTTGAAAGTGCATTGTTAAAAATTGGAGAAAGAAGAAAGGTCGCATGTTGAAAATTGGTTTCAGTGGTTCCAGAATATCATTCATCACTGCTATTAGATTTATATATTCTTGGGCAGAGGAGTTAACATTCATGAAATGGTGTTAAACAGCTTAATATGTATGTGTGAAAGGACTGCAGTTGATCTGAACAATTACAAGTGATAAAATAATAATAGAGATAAATAAAAATATTCTTAGGAAACAACTTGTTAGTATTATTGTTATGATTATATATTGTGTTGTTTATTATTGCATTCACACTTCACGAGCATGGAGAAATTATAAGTGAGATGTTGGCATAAATCTAAAATAGCCAAATATGGTTGGGGCCACTATAACAAACAAGTACCTTATTTTTTTATTCTTTCAAGTGGAATTTTGTATTCTGGTTATCATTAATTAAGGAAAAATCACAAAAATGATGATTACTCAAAAAGTTATGTGCACAATATGCAGCACATAGTAAGATAGAAACCAAGACAATTATGGTGTTGCAGAAAGTAGCATATGTATAAAATGAACAAATTAGACATATCAGTTAGGAAAATTACCTTCACTATGGAGTATGATCTCTCCTAGAAGCAATGCAACACATACAGCGATGTGTGAAGCTTTCAATTATGCAGTCTATCAATTCTGTATGAAGCGGGAGCCATTGCTCTTGCAAAGCAGTTGCAAGCGTGGCAAGGACCTGAAGAGGAGGATTGAGAGCAGCTATGCGTCTTCTGAAAATAACCCAGACATGCTTGATAGGATTCAGGTCCGGTGATCGAGCTGGCTACTACATGTGCTGAATTGCTTGTTTCTGAAGATAACCATCCACGATGCAAGACTTGTGCTGTCTAGCATTTGGTTGCCTCACGTACACACTTCCTATGTGAAGCCTTCTATGCATGGTTCATGTTGACACCAACCTTCCAAGGAGGATTTCAGTTGTGTCAGAGTTGAGGTTTTATTCCTTCATGCACATAACAACAAATATCTGTCATCAGTGCTCGTCATAGCAAGTTGGCCGACCTTGGCTGAATCGCCAAAGTCTCTGAATCACAGAACAGAGTTCCTGTGCAATGGAATGTCTTTCTGACAAAGCAGATCTTTGCATCGGTGTGTGCAGTTGAACTGATCTTGCTCCTGAAAATAAACCAATTCTATATTATAAAGACCTGAAAACTAATTGAATTTAATTAATATTGGGGGTTTTACAAGTGAAGCATAATTAAGATTTTTTTTTAATTCCCCATTTCTGTAGTTTTGTTGCTAAAAGGCAGGGGGGGAAAAAAAACTTTTTATTAAAAGATAAACTTTGTTAAATTTTTCTTAGCTAATTAATCAGAATCAAAAAGGGAATAAATCTGACAAATAATTATAAAAGACTCTGAAAATTTTGAAACAAGAAAAATGTTTTCTGTGCCCTTAACCTAAGATCAGGAAACAAACAAAGAAACTATTTCAGCGGTGGTTTACAGTATTATAGAACTGCTAAATGTATTCCTGCTCTGAGTTGAATCAATTCATGTGTTGGGAAAATAAAAGGACAAATATTTTGTTAAGAGTTTTTGAATATAATTGTAGAATGTTTTAAAAAATTAACATTTTAAACTTCTTCATTATTTGTTAAAGCCAGTACCATTTTTGAAAGTGTCTGTAGAGCTATAGAATGAGGCACTGTGCATTATAGCAAAATTGTTACTGAGTATTTTAGTAATTGCTAAAGGCTTAATTCTTTTTATTTTTACTATTTAAAACTTTATTTTTTATAGATTCTATTATTAAAGTTTTTAATATTATCTAATGCATAATTTTATTTATTTATTTATTTATTTATTTTTTGGTTAGGTTTAAAAATGATAAAATGCACTACCTTGTTGGCTGCATTGCTGAACTGTCAGAGAAAGAAGAATCAGAATTGCTGTCTCCTGGAAAAAATGATTTTAGTGTTATGTATTCTTGTCGAAAGAATTGTGCTCAACTCTGGCTTGGACCTGCTGCTTTTATTAATCATGACTGTCGACCAAATTGTAAGGTAAGCAAAAAATTAATTTTTTCATTATATAACTATGTTTAATATTTTGATATTTTTTGAACATGCTTAATATTTACATTGATTTCATATTAATGCATGGAATGGACGTATAAACATACATGTATATGTTTTTTAAGGTATTATAAACAATACCTTACAAAATATTATTTATAACTTTACTTTTCCCTTTAGTATTTACATCAATTGTTAATAAAGTTGCTACTTATGCACTCTATAATGACATGATTGAAAAATAGGGTACATACATCCATGAAACCATGAAAGTTGAACCATCAAACCATGGAAGTCATTCCAACTGTTCATGTCTCTTATACAACCAGTATCTGACTAGCTTCACTTTGGTTTTTCACAAAAAAGTCATTTATTAATTTCTTCTATTGTGTTGGGCCCTCCAGTTTTACTGAAAGCTATGTTTTAAACACTATAAGTACTACTTCTTGCAAGTGATTGCCACAATCTATTATTATTTTGTTGATGAAACATTCAATTAATATAAACTGTTTTGATGGAAGAATTCTTTAACTTTGAAAATAATCCACTGTTTGCTGTTTTGTAAAATGCAAGTTCTAAATTTGATCCCCCCCCCAAAAAAAAATTTTAAACGAAATACGACAATAACATAAAAAAAAATGTGGCTTGTCGGGAATGAGTCAGGATTCCATCAAATGAAGTCATAGATGCTATGAGTGTGTTGTTTACTTCATGCTTATCCACAACTGCCTCTAAATTGCATTGTTTGGTGGCAGTTTCTCAGCCAACAGAATAATACATAAGTACTGAAAATAGTTTTGAAAGGAGATGTACAATATGAGGGTGTGGGCTGAATCATATAACATGCTTTGCCATATATTTCATAAAGGAATGTAATATTTTGATTGTTTCTAAATCTGTTAAATTTATTTTAAAATATTTATTATTATAAATTATAACAACATAATGTTGATTGTAATTTATAACTATTCTGAATGTAAAGTCTTAATATCAGTGCTTAATATCTTGTATTACTGATTTTATTCTTTTTATAAATTTTTCTTTACCTCCTTGTATATATATATAATAGATTCTGTAGTAGAACTCAGGCGTTTGAATCCGTAATCAACAGCGAGAATTTTGATGTAGAATGCTGAAATGCCAATCCACAATGAGTAAAAAATTTGGTAGTCAAGGAAGATTTAATTCAATTTTTATTTCAGTAAATATGTTGCAGACACCAACAAGTTGGCACATTATTTATGCCTATTCCAAAAAGTTTACATTTTAGATAAATTTGCAGTAAGGAAGAAGGTGCAGACAGACAGCAGTGCAGCTAGGCCAAAGCGTAGAAAGCAAGTGTGTTATGTTCAGGATGAAATCTTAATTCAGAGAGTTAGTTTTGGTTCTCAGTGCATTTTGATTGGATTGTTAATATTGCTATAAAATTACTATTGGCAGCTGTTTGGGTTTTGTTCCATTTACATCATCAGAATGATGTAAGAGTCTGGAAATGACACAGTGCAAATAGGGGTTACTATTTTTAGAATAGAGAAGGAAAATTAATTTTACCCTACTAATTTAATCTTTTACATATTCTTTATTTTTCTTACATATATATGTAAAGTAAATCTCTGAAATGATTGCCAGTAGTTACAGAAAAGGAAATATAACTTGAAATTTCTAATAGTGCATCTAATTAATTTTGAAATACTTTTTATATAAAGCATAACATAAAAGTATTGCTAACCTTTCCATGAAAATATTAAGAAAAATTGTATTATTATTATTATTTTTATTTGATTTCATTTTTAATATATGTCTATTCTAAACACTTACTTTCTGTCTAGATAAAAGAAAATAGTTTTGAATCTAGTATTTTTTGTAAATACATTGAAGCCTTAAAAAAAATAGATGCTTTCATGTGTGTTAAGACATTCTGTGTATATCACTAGAATTCGCATATGTTTGAGTCTAGAGCACATTAATTTCTTGGTAAGATTAACTTCATTCACTTCACTTTGGCATTTTATAAAATGTTTAGATTTATCTCTTCTTAATTCATGTAGCATATTGCAGTCCTAGGCAGTTAAACGGTGTACTAAAATTTCATTATGATTTTTCACTTTTAGATTTGTATAGTTATAATATCTAGCCAGTAAAATCGAACATTGACTGAATAACTGAAGCTGGGCTGTTATTACCTGGTTTCAATTCCAGGAAGTGGGAAAATCTGCCTTTATGAGTTACGCGTGTCTACGTATAACATAAATACAGACCAATTTTCCTTAGAAAGAGTATAAAGGTCCCTTTCTTTAATCTGATAGCCTTGGATCAATTTTCCATCATTAATTAACTTCCATTCAGATTACAAAAATAGCAAATGAAGCCTAAGTTAGTATATTGAGTTTGAAACTCAGCTTAAATCATTAGTTTGAAATTATGCATGAATCTATATGCAAAATTTTATTTTTATTCTCCTTTTAAATTTAAAACGTGATTACTCCTATAAGGAAGTCAAGAATTCCTTATGTGTATGATCACCTTTTACCTTTATTAAATTTTATTTTAAAATGCCTATGAATATTTCTAAAAATTTCAAGGTAAAAATAACTAATTACATGTGTTTGGTTTGGAGCAGAATTATGTGTTTGAAAAATCAGTCCATTATTTTATAAACTGTGATAGGAAGACAAGAATTCCTTATATGTATGATCTGTTTTTACTTTTATTAAATTTTATTTTAAAATAGCTAAGAACAGTCCTAAAAATTAAAAGGTAATTACTTGTTTTTGTTTTGAATTATATGTTTGGAAAATCAGTTAATTATTTTATGAATTGTGATTTATTTTTTGAAGTGTATATTTTAAGTTGCACTTAATTGTTTTAGTTTGTACCTACTGGACGTGACAGTGCTTGTGTAGAAGTACTGAGAGATATTGAAGCTGGAGAAGAAATTACTTGTTATTATGGAGAAGATTTTTTTGGAGATAATAATTCTTATTGTGAATGCGAAACGTGTGAAAGGTAAGATTGTTTCTATTTGAAATTTTCTTATGCATCATTTTACAAATGCTCTGTTTCTCATTAACTGTGCTTTGTAAACTTGTATTTTATAACACTTAAAGGTCCTTCCCACCACATGTATAGGTAATGGAATTTTTCAAATCTGAATCCAAATCTGAAATTTTCCAGTCCAAATAGCATTCTAATATCTGAATTCCAAAGAATATAGTGATATTTGTTTCATAAACCTCTATCTACTTTAGGCATTATATTTCATCAATATCATAAACTAGCACTATTAATTGCCAATAATATTTTGTAGTGTTTCAAAGTGAATAAATAAATTTTAATAAAAGCAGTTAGCATCTGCTATTGTGAAAGCCACTGTAAAATCAGCTCTACCCCATCAGCAGTCAAGTGGGAAATTTTGCTGAACACTAATAGTTCAACCCAGAGTTAAATCCTAGCAAACTGGCTGATTGCATGGCCACTGCCATGGCTTCCTCCATGTGTAATATGCTAAGTATGAGCCAGTATTTCTCCACAAAGCATTCTTTGCCTTACACAGATCACTTGACTTACACAGATCACCTGACTGTGTTTTGCTATATTATGATTGATAGAATCCATAAATCAAGTCCAGCAGATTTTATTTGTTTATTTATTTTTTGCCTATTTCTATATCCCCTCTTATTTATGCAATTCATTATTCTTACCATTTCAAAGATAACTGTAACTTTCAGAAATTGGTTGTATTAGATTCCTCAAAAATCTATGATTGAAACTGAGACTTTCTGATTATCCACATCCCCACAGAATTTCATCAAAAAGTGTTCACGAGGAAAAATAATTATGTTGTAACCCACTATATCACAAAATATTTTATGTGACAACCCAAATATGCACATAGCTTATGCCTATTTTAGCTAACATACAGTGCTGAATTGCATGGATGTTTAAGCTTCTAGAATTCTCTGATTTTTTTTTTTTTTTTTTTTTTTTTTTTTTAAGAAAACACAAATCACTCTCTACATCAGGAGAACAAAAGTGCAAAAATGTATTTCTTGAAAAATGTAAGTGTTTTGTTACCGATGTTTTTGACCTTTTACAATTTTATTGATTGATTGTTCTTGTATGGAATTCTTGGTGTGCCACCATTTGAAAATGGCTATTGCTTTTCATGCATTAGCTTGGTTGCCAATTTTGTATTAGTTGCCACTGAGTTTATGAATGCTCTCCAAAATCACCAAGTTTGTGACTTTTTGTTGGGATTGCTGATAATCAGGAAATTCCTTCGAATATGTATCAAGAATCAATATATTTAGTTTTCTCTCTTTCTCATTGTTTGTAAAATATAAATATTTGATCAACAGAATCAATGTTTGGTAAGTTTTTAGCATTCACTGAGTTTTAATTAAATGGCTAGATCTTAGATTTCTCTCATTTATTTCAGCAAGTTTTTTTTTTTTTTTTTTTTTTTTTTTTAGCCCAAGGGGCAATTTGCCCTGAAGGACTATTGTTTTTGTATATATAAATGTATATATGTTTCTCACATTGTGATAAAACAACAGTACCAACCTACAGCCATCAAAATTTGAATGACGTAATCTTCCGTAGAATATAGGCATGTGGAAGTCCTAATATGAATTTGAAATTTGTTTTATTATCGATTTCATATTTTGTAACACTTCAAAGAATTTTTGCTTAACAAACTCAACGGTTTCAAAACGACAAATGGCAATGTTGTGCAGAAAAACCATTTTTATCTCCAGTCCGTGAGACCACGTATCGGAAATTTTAAAGATATGCTCAATTTAAAGTTATTTTGCGATATTGCTCTTAAACTGAATTTTATGGTTTAAGTGCGAAGAACATGATATTTAATAAATAAAGGCAAACACAAAATGTTAAAAAAAATGCCCCTTTGGACGTAATTTAAAATCTGAAACCATTCAGATTTTCTTTTTAATTAGTATTTCGGCTGATTTAAGTGATACAAAGATGGGAATAGTCGAAATTGCTTTCCTTGAATTTTTTTTAAAAATTAACTTTAGAATTCCTCGCACTAACTATGATGTATTTTTAAATCAAAATATTTATTTCATTTTTAGCAACACTATTAAAAATTATGATAAGATCAGATTTTTAAAAAGAAAGTTAGATGAATGAAAAGCATTAAATAGAGTGGAAGATCTTGAATGAAATGTGAGGTAAATTACTTAAGGGAATAATTGTCAAATGTTTAGTGGCTGAGGTTTACTTTTATTTTTTTCCCTTTATTCTGTGTAATGAAAATAAGAAAAAATATCTAACACCTTTAAAATAATTTTGTTTAAGTCACACAGTTTTAATTAAATGTACTAAAAAGCTAAGGGGGGAATATGCAAGCAAAAATGGTTAAAGTACAGGGTTAGTTTGAAAAACAAACATATATGTACTTTTTTTTTAGCTGTTACAATGTTTTTAGTCTTTTAGGGCTAAATATAAAATTAAGCAAATATAATTGCGAATTATCACTGTATCCAAGAACAAATTTAAAGCCTAGAAAGCCTAGAGAAAGTCAAAGTAACCTTTTTATGTAAACAGAATGTAGAACATAGGGACAGTCTCTTGTGCTACAATTTCTACAACTTGTGTTGATGCAAAATAAAATAGAACAGTCTAAATTAAATCAAGTGTTGAACAGTTGTCAATGACTGCACAATTAAATACTACTAGAAGCTGCCTTAGTAATTCTACTAGAGTGTCAAAATTCAAGTATTGGTAGCGACAAAATGCAAAGCTGAATAATTACAACTATTAGAACTGGTCTTAAAATCCGAAAACCTTAGTTTAAAATATTTGCTACTTATTTGCATTTGTAAGGAATATAGAAAAAATAAGTTATGGCAAAGACTGAAATTATAAATAACTGGTTAATTAACATCGAATTCCCTACAATATCATTAAAATGATGCTAAATGCTCCCTGATAAAAACAAGCACATCTGAATTTATAAGAATTTAAAATGTTTGTCTTTCAGGCTAACCCTCTGCACTTTAAAATTAAAAATATCATTTTTGCTCACATATTTTCCCCCTTAGCTTTTTAGTACAAGATTATAAAAGGTTTTTAAATATGCATGCAATTTGCTCTGTCCTTAGAACATTTAGAAAACAAGCTACCCTAAATTTTAAAATGGATTCTTCCATGCAGTGATTGCTTTTGTTTTACTAATTTATTTTTTCGTGGGTTTCGGGTGCATAATGGAACAATAATACTGCTTTATAGAACAATATGGCGAAGAATATTTAATTTAATAATGGTTTTGAAGATTACTGCATATGAAAAGACAAGGAGAGTAACAACAGTGTTGATACCAACGACTTACGTATAGCAGACAGCAGAGATAATAGTTAGTTCCAGCAGCCCTAAATGATTTGAGGCCTAGGAAGTAGGAGTTGATAATAATAACAGTGAGCAAGATTCAAGATAAGGGATGGAAAATTGAAGATATCTTAATAGATACTGCAATCTTAATAATATTACTATGCATTCTTATGTAGGTTTCTTTTAAATAGAGATAATATTGTAATAGTTACCAACAGTTTATCCATGAATACTTTTCATTTGCTGTGTTTTTACTGTAACACTATCCTTCGGGAATTAAATTTTTCTTATAATTTTCCCTTCAATTTTCATACAATAAAATTAGTAATTAAAAAAAAGGATAGAATATGCAAATAAACGTGGTATAAATAAAATCATTGCTTATTTGGATTAGCAGTGACATGTAAAGCTTTCAAAATTAGTATAAATTAAATTTTAGAATGATATGGTTTTAATGGAAAGCTCCATGCATTTTAAAGAAAACTGCAACCTTAAGGAGCAAAACCTTGAAACCAGCAGCTTTTACCAATCTCTATCAAAGTGCTTAGTGGCCTGCAATAAAACCATTTTATTCTAAGATCATTTCTATTAATTCATTATTAACTATTTCATTTTCTAAGGTCTTCATTTTGAATTTCTAAGGTCTTCATTTTGAATCTAGTATTAGCATGCATTTACTCAATGTATTAAAGATTTCTTGGAAATTTAATATAGAATTAGGTTCGCTGCAAACTATAAAATAAATCCCCCAACATATTATGATTAAGTGATATATAGGAACTTGAAAAAACATATGTATATATAAATACCAGTTTAAAACAAGTAGAAAAATCATAACTGTAATGATGTAATAATTTACAAAATATGCAAAAAAGTTTAAACTGTTTTTCTTGTTTTGTAAAAGTTCAGCTGTTTGTGCTAAATATTACAGATAGTATTATGTTTTATGAGTTTATGAATATGGTATTTTTCATAAATGCAGCTCTTTTTTTTAATTATAAAATAATTATTCTTCAATTGTAGAAGAGGGAGAGGAGCTTTCCGGACAAAAACTCCAAAGCAGGATTTCTTCTTAGAGTCTAGACTTGCTTATTGTCTCCGTGAAACTGACAACAGGTTAAACAGATTCAAAAAACAGGCTAATGCTGCTGATAACAATGCAAGGAGAAATGATTTTCTGGCAAGTTTACCAGGTATGGAATATATTATTGAGTATTTTCTGAAGTGTCTAAATGCATCCAAAGATAACTGATTTATACAGTCAAAAGTTGATAATCCGAAATAATCTATAATCTGGACCTCAAAGCTACAAACTTTCTGCACATGCGTCAACGCATAATGCGTTCGCGCATGCGCATAGGCGTTCATGCATGCGCGTAATACTTTTATGCATGCGCATAATACGTTTACTGTTGGCAGTGGTGATAAAGGCAAAGCATATTTTGCTTCCCTTAAATAAAGCTAAGACTAATCTAAATAAAATTCATGCTTTATTCCGTAAATTAAAATAAAAGAGCTAACACTATAGCTTTTACATTTAAAATCATTTGATTGAAAGCAAACTAGCATTATGCTAACTCATAATAACACAAGAGAACAAGACATTCGCCGATACCAGCATACATATACTATATAATACTCGGGCAACCGGCCGATCTTGACGTCATCGGCCAATCAGCGGCAACCACATTAGCTTACCGCCGATTGACCTCCGATCAAAATTTGCATGTGGAAAACTAAAGCCAACAAACGGCCCTCTTTTCCTCATGCAAAGACAAAAAAACAAAACTTGCACAGAAGTTCATAGTTCATTTCTATTATACGAAAACACTTATTGTCTTAAACACTGACAACATCTAAACAAAACTTTCTTAAATTAACAGCAGTCGCCGCTTTTGTAAATAAGTCCGGCAGTATTTAATTTACTGGTGATAAATTCAAGGTCAAACACTCCATCATTTACTAGTCTTCTAATGTAGTGATATTTTATGTCTATGTGCTTAGTTCGGCGATTTTCTATTAGCGATCTAGAAAAATCAATGGCAGACTTGTTATCATAAAATAGTTTACATTCTCTTAAATTAAACTTTAAAATTTCATCTTGTAAGACATTTTTCATCCACATTAATTCCTTCGCTGCCTCCGATAAGGCGATATACTCCGCTTCCAATGGTTGATAAACTTACACATTTTTGTTTAACAGTTTTCCAGATTACCGGTACTTCATCCTAAATATAATATAAATCCTTCCCATGGACACGCGGTCATCTCTATTACTTGCATAATCAGCATCTGAATAACAATATAAATTTATATGTTTAATCTTCGATAAGTTTAACTTATATAATTTAGTACTGTTGAGATAACCAAGCAATTTCAACAATGCTTCCCAATGCCTAATTCCAGGATTCTCCTGAAATTGTGAAAGATATTCACTGCATGTAATATCAGGCTTTGTCCTGTTAGCTAC